CTCACCAGGGTCAAAAATAGGTACAGGAACTAATCCCCCCCGAGTCATTTCTTGTCACCACCCACCCACCTCCGAGCACCTTGAACTTGGTTCACACCCCCTACCTGCCTCCCAGTACCGTTCCTGTTAGAGAATACAGAGCCAAAAATAATTTTGTGGTGCTAAATAATTTGTATGGAATTTGTTAATAATAACAAGAAACGCAGAAAAATAGATCTCCCGTGACCAGCAGCATTCGACACCCCCTCCAGCAAACAATAGATTCCTTCAGAAATAATTGACCACACCAAAAAATACCAACCTTAGCAACAATAAACCCCCAGCAGCTACAACAGATCCCACAGCAGCCAAACATCAATAGACTCTCTAGCAGCCAGCAACAGTAGACAATAGACCCCTTCCCTCAACAGTAGATCCCTTCCAGTGAATAACAATTGACCCCATCAACAATAGAACACCACCAGCAAATAGACCTCCCCAGCAACAATACACACACACACAAAGATAGATCAAAGATAGATAGGACCACTGCACATGTGTGGGATGCGCGACGGCACACCAGCGCCATATTGGAAGGTCTTGCTGCCCAAACAAGAGTTTGTGGCAGGCCCTCCACAGACAACCACAACCAGCCACACAGCATGGCTAACAGCCGCAGACTCAACAGGGGTCGCTGGAACAAGGCTCAGGATGGAAATGTAAGCAGTTGTCACTGCAGGGGGTCATCAAAATGCCGCACCAGAGGAAGGACCACACAAACACCTCGGGGCCAGCAACCCTAACAGACAGCCCCAGCCTAAGCGGCACCCAGGGCGCTCGATATTCAACAATCCACCCAAAGGAGGTAAAAAAAAGAGGGAGTACACATAATAAAACGTATCAATAAACATTTTTCCCATCCAAGCATAAATGGGTCAAGTGTACCAAATATTCAATACATAACTCAATCCTGGCAAGTGAATGTCCCCTCAGGAGAACCTTACAAATAACACAAAAAAGCAAAA